ACGTGACAATTAGACAGTGCTCCACATAAACCACAAGATCTTGTTGAAACTAACCCCACATCCCTCCTTGTCTCATGCCCTTATAACAGGCTCCAGGTTACAGTCCCCATTTCCAGCAGAGAACAGAAGTTCTTCAGAGGCATTAATATAACTTGTGCATGCTAGTGATGTGCACAAAGAAAAGAAGAAAAAAAACCAAACCAACCAATCTTTGTGGCTGTGGGTTTTGATCCTCTTTGTTTCACTTAATTATTTGTAGGGTTTATTTCAGGGATGTTAGGGATTTGGCCATTGAAGGGCTGTAAAGGGCTTATTTATGGGTGCCCAAAATGTATTGAAAAGTTTTATGTTTCAAAAATGTATTTTCGTAGCATAGTTGCTAACCTTCTATGTCACCTAGCCAGCTTGGGTTATGCTTTCACATGCACATAGAAACACTGGTGCAGGGCAGGCATAAGACAGGAGTGAAATCTGTAGGCTCATATACCCCTGGATGAGACTGAGCCTTGTGGCTATCATGTCAGAGCCTTGAACTGAACCACTTCAGTTCATGCTTCTGTTCCAAGACAGCTTCGGCCCAGCAGGGAATTACATGGACTCAGTGTTTGGACATGGGGCTTGGGTTACAAACCTGGCGACCTTCAGGGGCCATAATTGATTAGAGTTAGTGAGACTGCAAAAGCACTTTGCAATTGATTAATGGCTTCCCAGACACTCAGCATTTTCAATAGACATAATTTTTTTAAAAAAATTTATATTTATAGTGATGCCTGTTATGCTGCAGGTTTTTTATTAATCATTAGGAAGGTGGCTACCCAGGCAACTGGAATAAAATAATTTGTCTGAGAATTCATTATAATCAAAGGGGCAGGCAATTAATGACTAATTAAATCCACTGAGATGCTACGGGAAAGGAGTGTTAATCTTGTTGCTCAGCTATGATGGAAAGTGGACAGATATGGAGCTGTTTGATGTTAATTTGGAAAAGATGACATTTTTATAACATAATAGGTTACTTAAGCACATCAGTAGTGAACATACTACAGCTATTCACTTCCCCAGGCACAATAAGCTGAAAGAACCCTTTGGATTCTTTCTCTTTCCTCAGTCTGGATTAATTACAATGACTGAGGACTTTGAAAGGTTGCAGATTCCTTTGAGTTAGGAAAAGCATCCAGAAGATGGAATGACTGGCTCAGTTGGTTGGAAAGATTCTGGAGTGTGTGCTGGATGAAATATGTAGTTAGATAGGCTCACAAATACATCAGAAAAAACAGGAGCTGGAATAGCACAACATCAGGATTATTTGTGGCACTGGGGTAGGACACGTGGAAATCAGATCCAGATAATTAGGAAACACAATAATAACTCTTTCAGAAATTTTTATGATCTTGTTTTATCCAGGACATAGTTAGTCAAAGAGAAAATTGTCATCATGACCTTTTTTTTCCTAGTTCTAGTGGCTTATCAGGAAACAAATGCTTCATCTGTCATAGCTCTAAACAACAGCGTATGTGCAACTTTCCTGTTGGCTAGTGGCTATTAGATACTCCAGTCATTCCAGCTCATAGTGAGGCAGTGTGTATACATTGCGGTTGATAGTGTCAAAACAGAAAAGCCAGGAATGAATCTGAGGAGACTAAGAACTACTTTTGCCTCAGTCAGTTCCTACTGGTGAGGAAAGAGGAATTTTGAAGTTCTTTGTCCAGAGGCTCTCCTGCTCCTTATAGAACCTTTC